GAGAGAGAGAGCGAGACAGAGAGAGGCAGGGAGAGAGAGAGAGAGAGCGAGAGGGGGAGAATCAGCGCCGGCTTCAGAACAGTCATCAGTGGCTGATGCATCCTGTTTCCTCGCAATGAATGCCATCCTGCATGTTTAACCTCTATGACGACTTCAACCCTTCTGCACCCGCCTTCGCCCTAGAGGCAGGTGATCCACGAGCAACAGCCGCCTGCCAAGCTGCAAAGCGGGGCTTGCCAGAGCAGGTCTGCGAACCCGTTTCCCCCTTACACCTCTGTGTCCAAGCCACGAACATGCCCGAAATTTCCCGAAACCCTCCTGAAGCAGGTGCAGCAAGCCGGGCTCTGTGTCCAGCGTCACGGCGCAGCCCTCGGCGGAACCTACGCCTCCTGCAACGCAAACTTGCCGCGCAAGAAGAGCAAAAGCGCTGAGATCCGTCGACAACACTCGAGCCTGTGAGAAGTTGACCCTGCGCGAGAGCGACAAGCAAGCTGAAAGCGAAGCCGACGGATGTGAAGAACATGGCATCTGATGCAGGAGGCTACAGACAAGACAGGGCCGGCGTGCAAAGCACCAAGAAGATTTATACTCTACAGTACTGTATCCTCTGACTGGGTGGCTCAAGCGTTTGTGCACATGTCACCTGTCAAGGTTCTTGCTTCGTACGAGTACTGGGGCTGTGAAATGAAATACTGAATGGTCAAACTAACCCAAGTGGACTGACAGCAAGGAAACAACTTCAGCCGATGGTTAAGCATCTCCCGCCCCTTTCCAATTTCAGGTAAAGCGAAGACTGGCTTGGAGGGTTTCAGTCCAGTCCACCTGAGCCCACATGATCATAGCAGGAATCATTCACCTCTCCGCACGTGGATGTATGCACCACGCATCACATGCACAACATACTCGCCCTTTCTCCCCTCAAGTCGGCTTCACAGCTCTATTGGATGCTGTGACGTTCATGTGGAGCCGGGGGTGATAGAATGAATAGAATGATTCAAGCATCAAAAGTTCTCAAAGCCCCATTCAAAATCGACCTCCTGGACCTTACTCCGCTCCCGTGCTCTCCTCGCATACCCTTCTGTCCAAGAGACAGCAGAAACCTCTGAATTTTTACTTGGGCCCTTGCCGCGCTGCAAGAGCAGCTTAGCAAGAGAGGCCTTCGTGAAAACGACGTGCAGCATCTCGCAGCCATGACTGCATTGATTGCAGCCACTACTGAGCGATCACGCGGCTGCTTGGCAGACTCTTCTTGGAGCCAACTAGATGCTAGACACTCCCTCTGAATTCATGGATTTGGTGAAACAGGGCCCAACGCGGACTTCTTTCAAATGTCGCTTACAAGATGAGGCCAGGCCCCCAGAATCTCAGCGACATGATGCCAATTCAGCCACCAGTTCAGCATTCGCAGCCTTGGAGCACAAACCCAAAATCGACTGGAAGCCGCGAGCCATCGCGAGCCCATCAATTCCTGAGCCCAGTGCCTTGAGCAAATGTGGCGCCAACGGGACAGCCGACGGAGCCGGCGGAGGCACGACCGAAGTGCTCGGAGGCGGCAAGGGGGGCAAGGAGAGCTGGCCGTGAGCTTCGTTGACGGTGACGGCGTACTTGCCTTCCCCAGCGTCTTTTGTTTTCAATTGAGGAAACCACAGGCTCCAAGCATCGTCTTCTTAGGCACGATGCGTCAGGCTGTTTGCGACTGCAGATTTTAGGGTCCTAGATTCCTAGATGTCATAATCATGGACATGCGCTCTCTGCAGCTCCAGGTACTCGGACGTCCAACTCGGATCTTGCGACCGAAAAGCTCCTCGGCTTCATAAGGACAGAGCTCTGCACCACATCTGGTTTATTGCGCTGAATTAAGTGGTAGCCGCTGGTAGCCTAACCGCCATCCATCGAACGGATGTAATGCTCTCTTCAAGCATGCAACTGTCTCGTCAAAGATGGAGATCATGCGGGTGGCAACAGCAGCACTCTGAAACAGGACGAAGCAATAGTTCCCAGGCTGTGGAATGGTGACCTGCAGCGCAGGACAGTGGTAGATGTCACAGTCACAGCGGCAGGGTTTTTCAAGACACTCATCGGACCTCCCCGCCTTGCAAATTGCTGGGCCCAAGTCTGGGTCAAATTCAGGGACTTCAACTGCTGCCGGCTGGAGCAGTTCGCGCATAACCTGGAAAGACTGGTTCATCACAGTCAGAGGGGCTGAGAAAACACTTCATCTCACATCGCGTGCCTCCTCGTCCACCATCCCAGTGGCCAGGTTTCCGAAGTACACTTCACGAAGGACATTCGCGACCCCTTCCTTGGCCTCTTTCCCTTCTCCGGGAGGCGCCGCAGGCAACAGCCCCTTTTCACGAAGAGGCTGAACATCAAGGCCTGCGAGCTCTCCATCGTGCGGCGGCTCGTAGCTCTGCGGCCGTCCAATCCTGATGGACCTGTTCTGAAGCTCGAACCCACTCATCTGCATAGCAGTCGTTGTGAGGACATCATCCACGAACTCCACAAATGCAAACATCCCTTCGCCCTTCGGCGGGAAGTAAAGGGAACGTACGACGTCGACAATGTCTGGGTATCTCTCCACGAAACTGGGAAGCGATAAGAAAAGGCGGTTGAAGGCTTGTCGCAGCATGGGCTCATCCACCTGCAATGACTGGTCAAGCCATGACAGCCACACTACGCCCTCAGTGCATCTCGGGAGACTGGGCCTTATGTTGCGGGAGATTGCCGACGTACAGCTCCCGGCGCTTCTTTCCATTTGCGGTGGGATCCACCAAGCGCTTCAGCGGCTTCTGGTCAGGATTCGTGGGATCTGGCCTGCAGGGACGGACTGAAAAGTTTGGAGCGAGACGAACCAGGAGGGAAGCGGAGCTGCGGAGCAAAGCAGAGCCTGGCCTCACGTCCCACTTGCTTTGCCCTTGCCTCAAGTTCGGTCTCAAAGTCCTGGAATCGCGCCTTCGAGACCTGAACGCGAATGTGGCATGTGGCCAACCCAGTATCCACACCTGCCCAGGTGGGTCTGCCTTGTCCTCCTGCGGCTGCGGCTCGAGCTTGAGCGATGACGAGGGGAGAGGCCTTTGATTTCTTTGGCGTGAAAACGTGAAGAAAATCTCTTTATTTGGAAGATGAAAAAGACAAGTTGAGTTCGGCGGCCGAGCTCGATGCGAGTACCGGCCCACTCCGATCGCCTGCAGGGCCACATGCGATCACGCATCTATCCAGGCCCTACGCCTGCAAGAATCTCATCCAAACCTGAAACGAGCCCGCCTCGGTAGCCTCTTGCGATTCGCCACACGCACCTGGAGGAGCAAGACACTCCGCAAGTGAGAAACTTCCTTCCCAGCGCATCTTGCGGGCAAGCAACACGACTTCCATGCCAGCTGGGACTGCGAGGTCGCTTTGCATGGCGCCTTGATGTATTCCGGGCTTTCGGTGATCTTCGGCGAGAAGCTGGCGACTCGCACGGCAGCTCGTTGGGCGGGTGCAGTCCACGATCCTGAATGGAGCGAAGTTCCGTGTTTTGAAGCCCTGGATCCACCCCTTGGCCGCCTTGGCCTGCTCACTCTTGGAAGGAGGTGAGCCTTGGGCAGCCTCTTCGCACTCACCGTCCGAAGAGGACTCCGCCCTTAGATCATGCCGGGTGAATTATGCTGCGTCCTCAAAGCTTCCAGCTCGCAACTTATACAAATGCCCAGCCACGCAGCGGCCGCTTCTGTTTCCGTGACCTCCCCACTTTCCTCAGCCAACTGTTTTGTACTGCCCTCCTTGCCCTCCTCGCCGCTTTGGCTCCCTTCATTCCCTTCCTCCTCACTTTCCTCCGGTTCCGTGGGGTCGCTCTCTTCGGCCTCAGCCTCTTCCACTTCTCCAGGCTCCAGGGCTGGAGCTGAAGCAGTCCTGAAAGAGAACTGAGCTCCGCTTCACAATGAGTGTGACCATGTGCCGAGGCGCTCTTCGAGCTCGGCAACCTCGCCTTCCTCCAAGTCTTTGGAATCCTCAACCGCCTCAAAAACCTGCACTGCACACTCTGTGCGCAGCCACATGACCACATGACCCCGTGCCGAGAACTCGCACGGCCTCCCCGTCAGAGTCGGATGCGTCGGATACCTCCCCTTCGGCTTCGGCTGCGATGCTCACGCACGGCCTAGGCAGCAAGAACGCGGCAGCGGAACGAAAGCCACGCACACCACAATAAGTTGAACGCACAACGCGGCATCTTGCGGCCAAGTACGGGCCAGAGTCTGTCATGCCAGTATCGCTCACTTCGCCTTCCTCAAGCTCATCGTGGTCTGCATTGCCCACGGCGATGGCCTGTCATTTGGAGCGTTGACCCTTGTTCCCGGGGCTGAGAAACCCCCTGCACACCAGGCCTTTGCAGACATTTTCGATTCAGATCTCGGTGGGCACTTGCTCCTGGAAGACGCAGGGAGCTTCTTGGGCGCGCTCGGTTCGCTGGCTTTGTAGGGTTTTTGCCCTGTTGGACCTCGGCTTGAAGACGACTTCTCTAATAAATCGATGGTCGATGCCTTCGTGCGTGGCATGCTGCTAGTCCTGGGGCGTGTCAACTCTTCGGCATGCTCGTCCGACACCTCCGTATCCTGCCGTGCTATACCGCTTTTCCTCATGCTGCTGACGAACTACATTCTGCACGCAGTTACATCAAGTATTATCCAGTGCCCACACAACCGATTCGCAAAGCGGAATCCTTGGACACCTCAAAGGTCACAACATCCTTGGGATCAGCTTTCTTCCTGGTGCGACATGACTTGACATAGAAAGGCATCAGCACTTAGTAGAGAAAGCCAAGTCAAGACTCCTCGATTTCAAAAGATGCGCTTGCAAAGGCCGTGCATCCTACGGCGCAACGGTGGCACTGACATCAACAGAACGAGCCGTTTCAAGAGATTCAGCACTCCGTCCTTCTCCACCTTCTGACGCTGAACTCCGTGCCTCTGTGAGCCGGACATGTGCAGGATGGGAAACGCACTTCTAACTTTGCATCCAAGCTCTGCACCTCCTCGGAAGGAACGATGCGAGGTCTCCCTGCGCGGGAAGTCCACTAAGTCTGCTCAGTGTATGTCAGTGTAATCGCAGCGAAGAACACACTCGGCCGACTCCCGGAGCTTGCACACTGCCAACATATGCCAACATTTTGGAAGCGACGAAGCACGGGGCTCAGTTTTGCGACGCTTCTGCCGGTGCCAGTGTGGTGCGGGACACCTGACGAAGGAAAGCAGCAAGTTGCAGGGAGTGCGGAGTGCGTTGGGCCATGTTGGGCCTCTGCGAAGGGCACGGGCGGTCCATGAGCTGCAAAGCGCTTTGCAGCTCCTCGGAGTTGAAAGACATTCTCCCACATGTTTCTCTCTGGTCTTCGTCACTGCCGGCTTGGGGTAGCACGGGTGCAGCGAAGTGAGAGGCAAGAACATCCTAGCACGGCCATGACAATGTCGTCACCACCAGGATTGCAGACACATGTTGTGACAGCAACACAAATCAGCTTGTAAGCCCAGGATTGCAGACACATGTTGTGACAGCAACACAAATGGGCTGGTAAGCTGATCAGAAGGTTCAACAGCCCATCCATGCCCGTCCGTCGACTGACCGACCACACCAACTGCAAGACCTGCGGCCATCGTGTTCGCGGAGTCCTCCTCGACAGCAGCCATGACCAGCTCATGATCTCTTCCTTGCAGCCGCAGTCAGAGAGCCAGCGCGCTGGAACAGGGCACCTAACAAATCCGCCAGGATGCTGAGAACCTCCGCCGCATATTGCAGCGCCTGCTCCAGGAGATGACCCCAAAAAAGACCCGGGCCTGCGGCCAAGTAGTCCCCGCCTGGCCATCCTGGTGAAGTGCGCACTTCACCGTTTTTCGGTCAGCCCGCAGAGCATCGCTGGCAAACCTCGGCTTTGTCTTCAGCTTCCCGGATTCCCCCCGACCCCGAGATTCAATCTAAGTCCAGGCGAAGAGCTCCAAAGCCAAGCCGTTCTGCGCGACCGCTGCGCAGACCTGATGATTTGCAGGTCTCCAAGTGAGCCACAAAGAGAAGATTCAGAAAACTCCTTTCGTCCAGGCCAGGCTGCGACTTCCGCATTGTTCCGCAGCTCTTCAGCTGCCATCTTCAAGGCCAGGCCGTTTTGTCGCACCGCACAGAGCACCTGCGCTCTGTGAAAGGCCAGGTATGGCCAGGGCTACAGAGTCTCCTGCGGGCCAGGGGCCAGTTCTTTATGTGCCCTCATGCCCGGCGACGCGAAGGCAAGAATGTTGCCTCGTGTAGCTGGCGGTCTTGCCACGCGGGAACCTAGGCTACGGACTGCGCCACGTTGCTGTGCTGCTTCACCATCGCCATCAGCACTTCTGCATCCTCACACGACAGGCAACATTGCTGCATCTGTTACAATGGACAGCCAAACGAAGGGACACAGGCGATACAGCATGACACAGCAGAATCAGGGCAGAGGAGGGTATTTGCGAACACGAAACCACCAGATTCCAAGGCTGGGTTTCCCTGGGTGAGATTGCGAAGCACCTCGCGCAGCTCGACAGCACCCTCGGCGAGGGTTCTCTCGATGTTGTGCCTTGCCCACAGCTACACTTCGCACAATCCTGGGCTTCAGAACAGCTCAAGCCGCGCCTGGCAAGGCTCTGCACATCTTCGTCGGAGAGAGTGCAGCAGCTCAGGACGGAGCCATGGCACTCCAGAAGCTGAAGGAGGACATCAACCCCCGCCTTCAGTGGAGCTGCGAATGACTCCGCTCCGCCAAACACAAAGCAGCCTTCAGGTCGACGGCAGCGTAAAGCAAGGCGCGGCCCGCAGATCTCAACGCGCTCAAGACGACCTGCTGCCGGCTTTTGACTATACCGACATGCCCTATACGACTTTCGGGCAACGACGCGGCACGACCAGAATCTGCAGGGAGCTGGATGACATTTCATTGCACGTCCGACGGTCGCATTCCGCTGTCGGCACCTCCTTGTCGCCACGGAGAGGCAGGGCAGCCTGCTCCTGGCAACTGAAATCTGCCTTATTCAAACCGGCCGAAGCTGGCTTCGTCGGTATGTACAGTCCAGCATGTTGCCATTCTGCGCCACGGCAATGAGCACGATCTCCTCAGTTCCAGTCACGTCGTGACCACGGCTGATGCAATGCTTCTGAGACCCGATGAGTTCCCAACGCGGTCACAGCGCAGCGGCGCCGCTGCGAAGCTCAACGCCATGCCGGAGGTCCTCCCACAGTGCGGGGTTGGAAGGCGGAAGGCTTTGCTGGGCTTTGCCAAGTGGACAGTCCTCACAGCAGCGAGCACCAGGTCACGGTCTGCCTGCAGCTCTTCAGCTGCAAACTCCTTGCGAAGCGCACAAGGCGCAGAGTGCAAAGTGCCACGAGGAACCGCTCTCGAGTGCTTGCTGACCAGCTGCCAGCATCCTCCCTTGCCTGCGGACAGCTTCCAGAACCACCTCGTGTCAGTCAGGAGTTGGGAAGCTCTGGAATAGCTTTCGTGCCAAATGTGCCAAACGCCTTAATTACTCCAACCTTCAAACCTCAGCTGCACGCCTGGCCTCGCGATCGCCTCGCAAAGCTGCAGAAGCCAGTGCCAGCGCAAGGCCGTCCTGACATGCATCCAATCAAAGAGGCGAAGGCGACGATGCGATCTGAAGCCATATCCCTCAGGCACTCTCTCTCCCTCTCCCTCTCCTGACAACACGCTGTCCGGACCAACTCTCGATCAGCTCGGAGCTTCTCGCACGCAAACTCCAATGCCAATCCATTTTGCCTGCACCGCAGCAGCCCTTCAATTTCGACTCCAGCCCGCGACGCGACCCTTGGGTGCCTGACCGCCTCCATGACGACGTCTCTGTCTGCACACATCTCCTGCCCGGCTCAGCGCCACCATGTGTCAGAGGTATCGGCCGTGCGACTCCGCTTGCACGGCATCTCTCCTCTGAGGCAAACTGTAGAGCAATGCCGGTCTGTCTCACAGTTGCCAGCACCACTTGCTTGTCTGCCCGAAGAACATCACCAGCGTGCTCAAGCATAAAGCCATATTGACCTCACATTGCGCAGCTCGAGGGGAGTTGTGTCACGAATTGCGGTGGCGATAAGTCAAGACGACACTGGCATCAATGCATATGTAGACTACCTGCTACCGGCTGCTACCGCTGTCCACTGTCTTCGGAGCCACGACGATCAAGTCGGATTTTCATGAACACAGCAAGAGAATGTCCGGCACCGACCATCAATATCATCACGTCGTTCACCGAACCTAAATTAAAGCTGGCAGGTGCGACGATCAATATCATGTGGTACGGAGTCGAGTGGGCTTGTCGGCGCATGCGATACGACAATACGATCGCTTTGTCACCCACATGCGCATGTTGTGGACTTCTGCGTCTCCAACAACCCGATGGCACCTCAATCGGCTGTGCTATCCAGATATCCAGACAACTCCAAGGATCCCGCTGACAGCAGCAAGGACAACCTCCATGCAGCGGAAACTTCCACTAATTGCACTAATTGCACAGCATCTTGCAGTGTCACGGGTACGTCGTACGAAAACTTGTGTTCTGTAGGGCGGATGCTTCAACATGTACGTGTGGCACGAGATTGGTTGAGCGTCACTGGCCTCCTACGACGCAAGGTATAGCATTCCTTACCGCAGCATCCTGGTTTCCGAATCAGCTTGCGAGGCTAGTGGCCTAGCGCATCCGTAGGCGATAGAAGTTCAAAGTGCAAATGGAGCTGGTCAACACTCTCATTCTGACGGCCCCCGACGTGTGCCAGCACTCATGGCCTGCTTTAATTTCAAGCAGAATCTCTGCAAGCGGCTTCGTATGAAGGCAGCCCGGTCAGGAATCGAAGAAGCTCCAAGAAGATGAGAGACAGCCTTTCTTACCGACACGGCCTGGCCTCGCGGTCGTCTCTGAATGCGCCGCTCAAAAACCTGAGATCGTGAACATCGTGAACGTCATGTGCGCATTTTGCCCGCGTTTGACGCGGCGAGCGACTCCAGGGAACGGCCATCGCAGGCCACGGCGCGCAGCGCGAAGCTTCGGTTTTCGAGCAGCGCCGGCGCAGCAAAAGCGAGGACCTGTGACTGCGCACACTGGGCACCTACGCTTAGAAGGGATGCCAAGTGCCATGCTTGGGAATGCGCCTGCGCGTCCCAACGCAGTGCAGCCAGCACGACCTCCTCGTCTGCTTGCAGGGCCTGCGCCCGATGGCTTCCTAACGGTCCTAACCCATGTACCCATCAGCTTGAAACAAACGCTTCCCATCCTCCGAAGCCACCCGCAGCAAATCTCCGCGCTGGCTCACTGCACCTTGGCACCGTTGCAAGGATGAAACCGTTGGCTTTCGACCGAGGTATCTGCACATGCCGCACCACCGTAGGGCATCCAAGCAGCGCAGAACAACCTGGTCAATGTGGTAACCGGGAGACACGGAGGTGCATAAAGGAAGCACAGTGAAAGAAATGTGGTGGGTGGGTGGGTGGGTGGGTGGGTGGGTGGGTGGGTGGGTGGGTGGGTGGGG